AAGCTATCGGGAGTTTCACTCGTGACTGAATGCAATCAGTTATGCAAGAGTATGGAAATAGAGCTGCAGAGAAAGAGTTTGGACCTCCTCCCACTGAGTGTATCAGGTAAATGTTACCTAATTACTAAATAAAAATGTGTTCCGTTTTATCTTTAAAATATTGATTTCTTAATTTTGGGTTGGAAAAGTGGGGGTCGTCTTGTACATGGGGGCATGTTATAGATGGAAAAATACAGTATGTAAAATTTTAAATGACTATATACAGAACATGTGTCTGAAAAATTAAGATTAAACAAAACAGCAAACATTCAAGATTTTTTGTATCTTCCAGAATAGCAAAGAAGTAAAACAGGGATCACAAATGCAGAGTCAGTAATTACTGTTTATCTGCAGTTAGATCCCAACTTATCTAGAAGGATGCTTTAGCCCTTTTGGGGTGCCATATTAAGTAGGATGAAAATAGCTTAATTCTTCCTTTCTTCATATTTTTCAAAGTTTCAAGCATTTTAAAATACTGTATTGCTTTTTCAGCTAAAACTCTCAAAATAATGATACAGAAAATTTTGTGAGACTCCTGTATTTTGTCCATAATGCTGATACAGAAAATTATGCGTGTCAATGCACAATTTTTGCATGGTTAGAGGCAGAGTGGACCATTATCACATCAAGTTCCCTTTGTTTCTTTTGCCTTAAGGGCTGATGGTATTATCTGTCTTCTCCGAGAGTGCAAACCCAAACAGTAATTTGCTACCTTGACTGGCAAGTTTTATATAAACAAACAAACCCACCCATATCTGGGTTTGTATGAAACTTGCTGCTAAAAGAAACTGTCATTTCAGGCTGTACATACCTTCTGTTTTTCAGAGTGATTGGCTTGCTTAGCAGCTTCTGCTACCAGCTGATCATACTGTTTACGTCCTTTATATTCTCGTACCCGCTTTTCATGTACCCAAGCCCTTTCAGGCTGGTTGCTAAAGAACTGAACATGATATTCTCGTGCACCTGGAGAGAAAGCAAAACAGAAAGAAAGCATTTTGCTAAGAAATTCCACCACTCAAATCTTCATTCTGGGGAATAAATATATTGTCACACCTTTCTGAGCTGTACAGCAAGCTCAAAACATTCCTTTTTAACTAAAACTCAAAAATGTTAACCATCAGTACAACAGTGACCTTTGTAATGTCATACTCTATGTATGTGCGTAAGTATGCATATGTATGCTGGTGTATGCATGTGGAGAAAGAATGTAAGGAACCAAGAATGCAATTGTTTTGGACTGTATGTCTTCTCTTGGTTTAATTTAATCAGATTCTTGATCTGATCTGCCCATTTTGAATTATGTAGCTCAGGACCAAACCAGACCCAAGGTTAACCATACAAAGGAGTACAGACAAGGAGATATTTTTCTGAGGTTTATTTGGCTTTAGGACAATATGTTGTATATGTTAAGTTATTTACTCCAAGGCCCACAAAAAAGGAGTAGTGTGTCGCCCAGCCCTGCTTTGAGCCAAGGGCCAATATACTGTGTTAGAGTCTCTAGGCAATCAGAAGTTCATTCTGCTGTACAAACTGAACCTTTAAAAAATTATCAGTCTTTATAATGAAGTTGGCATTGGAGCTTTTGTTCCAGAACTAAAGTAGGGCACTGTAGAAGTATAGACTCTTCTATACAGCCTGCAAAATCTAAGTTAGCTGCAACACAATGGGCTGCTTCTTTTTATTTTCCTCTATAAATTATCCTGTGGACAATTTTTCAGCCAGTGCTGGCTGGGGAATTCTGGGAGTTGAAGTCCACATATCTTAAAGTTGCCAAGGTTGAGAAACACTGGTGTGGCCAATCAGCTGCCAACTAGGTATCTCCACTTGAAGTAGCTGCCTCAGATGTGCTGTGCTCAAGAATTAGGATCTACCAGAAGTCTTTTGTTTTGAAATCCAATATAGCAGCTTGCCAAGTACACTTAACGTTAGGGATGTGCAAAATGTTGCATTCATGGACTGTCCTGAGCAAGGAAACAGATTTTGGTGACCTACTCTCAGACTAAATGTATGTGTTCCACCCAGACCTGGATCTAGAACTTGCATATTTGATCTGTATACAGTTTTGGAGTATGGTGTAGGAGAGGAGGGAGCAGGAAAAGCCATCAGTGACATGCAGCAGCAATGGAGGAAGAAAGGAAAAGAAGGCACTAAGGTGACAGGAGTGAGCAGGTTGTCATACAGGCCATGCAGATGAGGAAGTAAGAGGGGGGCTAGCCACCCAGTTTTGCCCTATTCATCCTGCAAGACCATCTAGGATTTGTCTCAGCTAAAACCTGGAACAAGAGGTTTCAGATTTTGGCTCAGCTAGAACAAATTCGTTCAAAATATTTTCTGTTCCTCTACTTAACTGTAATGATAGGCATCACATTATTTGTGTTATTATTTATTGTACATATCACCTGCGAAAGTTATTCAGACTTACTTTTTGAACTCTAACAAAGGCATAACAGAATAGTTAAGCAAGTCAGCTGTTCAAATTTTTTTCGAAATAACAGCCCAGAAGTTTTTATTTACTGACCTCGTGTGTTAATTTTAGTATGAACTTCGAGTTGAGGATCTCTTGAAACCATGCAGGGCCACCAAGGATATGTCCCCACTTTGGACCAGACGAGATCTCCCACTTCAAACTTGCTATCACTTGCTTCTTGTGTGGAAAGAGAAGAAGCAATCTGCTGTGCCTACATGAAAATGATAAAAAAATGCGTCACATGAAAGTGAAAAGGTGTTGTTACAAATCAGACATTCTAATGCAGAGCATTATATGTTATAGATTATTGAACACACAGATGAACACATACTGTAGATGAATTATTCCACATTCTGCACTCTGCATGTTATATGAAAATAGATGGGGCCTTTGTCTCTGGTAATCTTTTGCTTGCCCTCCACCTGCTAAGACAGCTAGGCTGCTATTCTACCCAAGAGTCTCTTCCTCAATATTTTGGTCCAACAGGCTCCCAATAATTCTGGTAATAAAGTTCTTTGTCTCGAGGCATATCTGTTTTAATACCATTAAATTTCTACAATTAAAAATACAGAGTACTAACCGGGGTTTCATCCAATGCTACTGTTTCTTCCCTTGGTTTTTCAGACTGTGTGCTAAGCCTCTCATTTGGTCTCTATAAGTTAAAACAAAGTGAAAAGTAAAAAATAGAACAAAGGAAGTGAGTGATTGCCTACACAGGAAGGAGTGATTACTAAAGAAACCAATCAGGTTTCACAGGTTCAGTAGTAACTCTCCCGGTCTATTTTGAAGCTCCATTAATATTTTGCTACTGTTATGGAGGTTTACAACAAGGCAGAGATCAAAGTAATACAGAAAAGGAAAGCAGATACAATTTTTATTTATTTTTTTCTGGTTATAAACACTTTACATTTAAAGATTAACAAGATTCTTATTTTAAATATATATCTGCATTATATCCATGCAGATAATGGATTATTTCTCTGGATATTAAGTCCAATATGCACAGAAGCTATTTCTAGGAAAAAATGATTTAAAAACTATTGTTTCCCAACACAGCTTTCTAAACAAGGCTACAATGTTTATTTAGCATTATACTAAATGATTTAAATAATCAGAACTACATCTAGCACTATCTCTACAAATCCAGTTCAATCTGGCCACAAGTCTTCAGGCTCTTTCTACAATTTTAGAAAATATAAGACCTATTAGAACCAATAGGACAAACAAAGCTGATCTTGAAGAAAGTGAAGCAAGGTCAGGCCTGATTAATTACTTAGAAGATCTCCAAAGCTGTAAACTAGACTGGGATGTCAAAAAAACATCATGGGAGAAGGCAATACTTCTATCTAACTCCCAAGAAAACTAGGTAGACATGACCATGAAATTCCTTAAAGTCAAGTTCAACTTGAGAAATTTTTTACCTTTCATTCAGAATAGAGCCATAGCCAGTCTAGAGCCATGACTGTGCTCTAAAATAAGTTTGGATCAACCTAGATCATTTAAGCTTTACAAGATTTGAAAGTATACCAATGATTTCACTATCACCAAAACATCCCACTGCAATGGATGCATTCATTGGCAAATGGACAGCTCTGCTCTTTCAGAAAAAGGATGTCATGAGGGACTCATGTTTCTGATACAACTTTTCAATTTCAGCAGTATTTAACATTGCTGCACATGTTGGCTGCTGCCAGTTTCCAGAATTCATCTCAAGTATACTTTGAAACGTTCTGAGAACTGTTGCGATTAATGGAGGACTCCCCTTACAATAACTTCTCTTCCTTGTATTATAGGAAAGTTGATTCATGTCTTCAACCTTTTCTTCCCAATAAAAAACAGAATACATAACCCAGTGATTTACAATCTTCATCCCTGATTCTAAACATATGACCAGAATCCAGGCAGAGAGCCAACTGTGATTGAATTAGAACAGGACCATTTTAAGATGTTTGCTGCATTTGTAGCATAGAAGGAAGGCAGAAGTAGATAAGAATTGTTTAACTGTAACAACAAAGGAGGATATAAATTTACAACCTATGAATAAGTAAAAAGGCAATTTAAACTTACAAATCATTCTGGGAACTGAAAGGTACTTTGCCAGCTTTTAAATTTATTTCATTTTTTGAATACATATTTTGTTGAAATCTACTGTCACCTTCTTTCTGAAGGGTTGTTCCACAGACAGGTCAGTTTTGTTCAAGGAACACAGTTTACCTTCTTCCATTTACTGGTAAAGTTGAGTCACCAGTATCATAAACTCATTTTGAGAGGAAAAATAAATGTATGAGTAGATATCACCATCAAAGGATTAATTGTTCCAAATGTGCATTCTCAGGGTCTTCATTAGCCCTATAAAACAGGTGACCATTATGATCTTCACAGAGCTATTGCTGAGACAGAAGCAGCTTGCTAAGGCTATCCTTTGAAATCCTTGAGCTGTTCTTTTTTTTTTAATTTCAGATTATGATTTGCAAAGCAAGTAAAGGACTTTTAAAGAGGCATTTTACTGATCTGCTTTTGTTTTAGTTGTAATCATGTATGAAGAGTATCTTCCTCACAAGTTGACTCAACTTTGCTTTTCAGAAGTGAATTCTGTTTGTATACACTGCCTGGTTTTCACAGAAGCTTTAGAACAAAGCATTTATGAAGGAAGGAATTTCATGACTCAAGTTTCTTGCTAGAAACGAAACTCTGTTGCCTTATAAGCCAGTTTCAACACTGGCTTGCAACAGGCTTAGTTGAAATAGTATAGTGGGTGGTAGAGAATATTGACATATAACACTTTTAATTTGCCCTTGTCCTATTTTGTTCTAAGAGTGATTATTATGGGCAAATCTCTATTTTAATATATCTATTTAGATATATTACATCTATCAGCCTTAGATCTTTTCTTTCAACACTAACATTCAAAGGAAATGACTTTTAAAATGGAATGAAAATTCAAAATTTAATTTGTGAGATGGCATGGGGCAGAGAGGCAGTTTGGCTGTTCACTCATGCAGCATTACTTGTAAAGGATGTTTTTTTAATAACTTGCTTAACTACATCTTGGATGGCTACCAGCACTGTGCCATAAGATTGACTCACAATTTAACAGCGCCATTCTAGGACTTTTTACAGTTCAACATTCAGTCTAGTGTCAGGGTATTCTGTCATGGCATGAGGCAATATTTCAGCTAATCTACTGAACCCTGGACCAATGAAGAACATTTTTTGCAGAAACAAGGCAAACATTTGTGCATGGCTGTTTTATGAGTATGCCTATTAATGCTCATAGAATACCATGACCTATAGATTGAATGGGACATATCATGGCTTTGTGTACCAAAAGTAAAGGTCTAAAGACAGAACTATGAGACCAATTCCACAAAGCAAGTAGTAACAAATGAAATGATGCCAAAATAATTTGAGTATATACGTGCAATGAGATAATCAGGCAAATGTTGGAATTATGTACTTGTGTCAAACATCAGATACAAGTACTAAGTCATTGCATTTGTGTGAAGTCATCATGCATGCTTCCCCCCTTACCCTTTTGTAGATGTCCATGCATTTAGTGGTTAAGGATTCAATCTGAGAATAAGCCCTGCTGAACTTAGTGAATGTTTTGAGTACATATGCATATCGCTATACTACATTGAAGAAAAGTTTCGAAACTCTCCAAAATTACTCTTTTATCTAAAATATTAATTTAAAACCCTTCAGGCAAATGATCCCATTAGCAAATTACTGAGTGAAAATCAGAAATTATCATGTGAAGCTAGCTAACTGAATTGCAGCATGTTTTGTGAATTCTTCTCAGTGTTAGAAGAGGCTTCTACCCTGCGTACAGTCAGCCTGTTCACGTAAGTAGGCTAATAAATTAATACAGAAGGAAAAAGAAAAAAGACAGAAAATGCAAAAATACCAAAAAAAAAGAAGACCAGGAATGGTTGTTAACAGATAGAAAATGTATATGATTTTCACTCTCCCAAATTATACCAAAAATGAAGCATGATACAACTTTAACAGTCACCCAGCTGTAATATAATTACTGAGATATATTCACCCATCAATAGGACAATTTGACCCTGGAAGAATCTAAAATTTCTTATAAGTTATTCTAATAATTTGCAGAGTTGTTGTAAAAGACAATTTGGATTTCTTTTGTGTGGTAGAGAACAATCTATCAAGATAAATTTTTAGTTTAAAAAATGGATTTATAAAAACAGATAGCCCAGCACAGTAAGCTACTAAGCGATTTTTGGGCACTGACTGGTTATATTCCAAAAAAAGCCAAGCAGACAAGCAAATAAAGAAAATATGAAGAAAAACAGAGTCAGAAGAATATTGCCTTGTCGCAATGTAACAGAAAAAGCTGAATTTTTTATTCCACTTACATTTTGCTCCTCTGGCTCTAGTTTTGGAATCTTACGTGATTTGCGTTCTTCTGAGTGGGAAGAATCATGCTTGCTACTTTTTTTCCGTTTCTCTTTTCTCCCTTCATGTTTTGACTTTGCACACTCACTTGCTTGTACTTCATTTAAAAGATCCCCACACAGCGAGGACTCAAATAATTCCCTGCCGTTCTGGATAGTTTTGGTTATTTTTAACTTAATTTCTGGTGAACCTGTCTTCTTTGGAATCACCGTTTGGGATACTGAGGGAGGTGGAGGCTGAGGAGGAGATGGTTTTTCCAGAATTTCATGTGGCCTTATGTTAGAGTTCTCCATTTGATAATACTCTGGTGGACTAAAGTTTCTAACGGTGCCAAAGCCATTGGCAGAGCCATTTGGATACTGACTGTAGGACTGGTATTTGGTTTGGGGCTCATACATGCCAATTTGGGGAAATCCATTAATGAGGGGTGGAAGGTCCTCTGCTGTTGGTGTAGGATACTGAAAACCTTGCTGCAAGGCAAGAGCAGCTTCATATGGCGTCTGTCTACCATCTTCAGTGATGTCACTGCTGGCATCAAAAGCATCCTCTTGGCGGTTATTCGCCGAATCAATGAGTTGAGGTGGTTGCTGAATTGTGTTTCCCATGATCCCTTGCATGAAAGAGAAGGAGAAATCCATTGTTCTGCTCCAGCATCCTTAGCTTTCCCTTTTTCTCATAGGGCCTAAAATGAAAAAAGAAGAAAAAGTGTTTCTATGGCTTCTCTAGCAAAGTTTAGAAATTCGAGGCAATTGCTTTGAATTAGATTTAACAGGAACTTTCTCTCTCTACTAACACAGAGCATCTTCAAAGGCTAACAAGCTTACTACAGCATAAGCTCTAGTGTAAGATATACACTGTAAGATATAGTGTAAGATATAAGCTCTAGTGTAAGAGCAACCACTTCTTATCTGATGCAACTACTTCTTATCTGATGTAACCCTCCCCCGGTTATGTTCCTCCTTCTGTGTTAGTATGCATATGTACACATTAAAGATAGGTCTGTTGGTCTTTAAAGATGCTGCTTTTTGTTGCTTAAATATAGTGACTTACTATCACTATATTCACACAGTATACTCCAACTGTAACTTGTGATTAACAGTGTAAGAATGTATCAGCTATGATAGGCAGCACAGGCCAAAGCAATTAGGCTAGTACAAAAGCTCAAGATTTGTTCCAAAAAACAATCTGGAGTAAAACAAACAAGAAACGAGAAACGAAACAAGCATATTGTTTCACAGAACTTAGTCATGTGCCAAGTTGTTTTCAACTCCTAGCGGCCACATAGAGTAGATATTCTCCATGACGATCTGTCTCTAACCTGATCTTTTAGGTCTCCCAACCTTGCATTCGTTGCCACTGAAACGGAATCCATCCACCTTGCAACTTTTATTAGAACAATACCCATTTTGCCCGGAGGCAGTTTGTATTTTCTGCCTTTTGGGTAATTGCTAAAACTTACTAAGTGTCTTGTCAACAAGGTATGCTAAAGCACAAGAAGGAAAGAGCTCTTGGACTGAGGACAAGCCATGTCCCACTGCTCTTCAGAAGCTCCATACTCCCAAACCTGAGAATATCAGGAGCTCTGAAAATCAGATTTGAAGATTTGTGGCCGTAAGGGAAAGCAAAGATAAAATTACAGTATGGAAGAAGGTCTGAAGTTGCTTTAGCAAGATGTTTGGCAAATGTTTCAATAGGCTCATCCTTCTATATATAGAAGAAATCCGAGATTCCATGAATGAGAAATAGACCAGTATTCATGTATCTGACCTCAGTTTTAACTTGGTAAACAGCCCAATCTCTAAGGAATGTTTATTGGTAGAAGCACTAAGAAAAAGGATCAACACATTTGAAGCACCCCTCCTAAACAGAGAAAAATGACACACCAGGACACATGACATTCTCCCCACAACCCCACGGCCTGATGATATTCAGTTCGCTGTTTGGGGAATTCTGAATGTGGCCTTTGAAGTTGATTTAAGCCAGTGTTGTCCAAACTTGGCCACTTTAAGATGAGTGGACTTCAACTCCCAGAATTCCCCAGCCAGCATTTTTCCTCCCACCAGAGTGAGAGT